ACTGAGTGAACCAGAAGATGAATGGCATATTCAGTGAAGGTAGGAAATCAGCAACAAGGACACGTAAAGAAAGTTTTGCCCGGAGGTCTGCTTTAATGCTGAACTCTAGGCAACAGCTAAACACACAGATCAAATACAAACATGGGGGCTGTTTTACTGGCCAAAGGACTTTTATTTCTTTTTCATTCAGTTCTGGGATTTACATGGCACAGTTCTGTCTGACAAGGGAGGAAACTTTATTTTTCTCTTCTGCAGTTATGTTACACTTAGATCTGGTCTGCTTCCCAGCCTTTGACTGGACAGCTAAAATATATGCAGTTTACTGATCAGCTCAACTTCTCTGTCATTCTGCTCGCTCCTGCTATCAACACGCTTCCTGCCAACAACTAAGCATTGCAGCAAAGCTAACTGATCCTTGTACTGCTTCTCCCTTTTCCAGTGTGAACAGGAATTGCAAGAGGCTGATGCCAAGTCACATTCAGGTCTTTACATTGCTTGCATCTAAAAAATACATTTAATGATGTGTTTATGAGTGCAGTGCTGCATTATTTGAGTCTCTTATCAGTGTCTGAAGTTCAGCTTTAAAGTGATTATAAGGGGGGCTGGGGAGCTGCACACAGGTTTTTACCTTTATGCAGAAAATGCATTAACCACTTGCAGACTGCACTATAGCCAAAAGACAGCAACAGCACATTTGGATAGTTCTGGAAGGGCATCCTCCCAGAACCATGCCCCACCCCCCCCCCCCCCGCGTGCCCCTGGGAAGCGCTCCGGTGCGATCTGTGATTGCTGCGGTCTTTCAACACAACTGATCACAGATCGAGGTAAAGCTCCAATCATAGTAGCCCTTTACTACTATTATTATTATACAGTATTTATAAAGCGCCAATAGTTCGCTCAGCGCTGTACATTACAAAGGGGGACAGAACATGTGACAGAACAATACAATGCAAAACATGAGGGAATTGAGGGCCCTGCTCTTTCGAGCTTACAATCTACTATGTGATCAACTGTGTCCAAATCATACAGTTGTGACCAAAATTATTCAACCCCCACTGAAATTGAGTGTTTTGGCCAGTTTGACATTGCTTTTGATCATTCAGTCATCTTGCTTACATTTACATTAAAGAGGCACTTGTAGGTCAGACAAATATAACATAACAGTTATAATGAAATAACCACAAATGTCTTTTCTGTGCTCACAGCATTATCAGTTTTATTCAACCCCCAAGTGACATTCAATCTTAGTACTTAGTACAGCATCCTTTTACAGTTATAACAGCTTTTAAACGTGAAGCATAGCTTGACACAAGTGTCTTGCAGCGATCTACGGGTATCTTCGCCCATTCTTCATGGGCAAAGGCCTCCAGTTCAGTCACATTCTTAGGCTGCGCACTGCAACTGCTTTCTTTAAGTCCCACCAGAGGTTCTCAATCGGATTTAAGTCTGGTGACTGCGATGGCCACTCCAAAATGTTCCAGCCTTTCCTCTGCAACCATGCTCTAGTGGACTTGGAGGTATGCTTGGGATCATTGTCCTGTTGAAAGGTCCAACGTCTCCCAAGCCTCAGGTGTGTGACGGACTGCATCACGTTTCCATCCAATATCTCCTGGTACTGAAGAGAATTCATGGTACCTTGCACACGCTGAAGCTTCCCTGTACCTGCAGAAGCAAAACAGCCCCAAAGCATGATTGACCCTCCACCATGCTTCACAGTAGGCAAGGTGTTCTTTTCATCATAGGCCTTGTTCTTCCTCCTCCAAACATAGCGTTGATCCATGGGCCCAAACAGTTCTAATTTTGTTTCATCAGTCCACAGAACACTATCCCACAACTTTTGTGGTTTGTCCACATGGCTTTTGGCATACTGCAGTCGACTCTTCTTATTCTTTGGAGACAGCAAGGGGGTACGCCTGGGAGTTCTGGCACGGAGGCCTTCATTACGCAGTGTGCGTCTTATTGTCTGGGCTGAAACTTCTGTACCCACATCTGACAAATCTTTTCTCAGTTCCTCAGCAGTCACACGGGGACTTCTCTCCACTCTACGCTTCAGGTAGCGCACAGCAGTCGAAGTCAGCATCTTCTTTCTGCCACGACCAGGTAGCGTTTCAACAGTGCCCTTTGCCTTGAATTTGCGAATGATGCTTCCTAAGGTGTCTCTTGGTATGTTTAACATCTTTGCAATCTTCTTATAGCCATTGCCCTTCCTGTGAAGAGAAATCACCTCTTCTCTTGTCTTCCTGGACCATTCTCTTGCCTTCACCATGTTTGTAACCACACCAGTAAATGTCTAGAAGGAGCTGAGTATCACAGTCATTTTAAAGCTGCCTAATTGGTGCTTATTATGCTTGATTGCTGCTCGGTGACATCCACAGGTGTTTTCAATACCTGATGGAAAGCACCTGTATGAACCTCTGTTCTTCAGAGTGGTAGTCTTTAAGGGGTTGAATAATTGTGGCAATGAAGAAACCACATAAGAACCATTTACTACTGTATTACATAAACAATTGATGTCATTTTAGTTGCATTTGGGTAGTTACAACGTCCTTGTAGGATTTGATTCTGAATACAATTCCAAATGTACACTATAGTCCCTAAACCCCTTTACAGCATTGGGGGTTGAATAATTTTGGTCACAACTGTAGCTGATCACAGTGTAAACGGGAAATGTCATTATTGGCAGACTTCTCCTCACACTGACAATGCATAAGGAGAGGAGAGCCGGTAAGAGGCATTCCTCAGAGGGGGCATCTGCACTGATCATCGGGGCACTGATTGTCAGTCCCTGATGATCAGTGTAGTCCCATCAGTGCTCATCAGTGCTGGCTAATAGTGCCCACCAGTGCTGGCTAATAGTGCCCATCAGTGCTTGCTATCAGTGCTGGCTATCAGTGTCCATCAGTGCTTGCTATCAGTGCCTCCTCAGTGCTGGCTATCAGTGCCCTCAAGTGATGCCTGTCAGTGAGCATTAGTGACACCTATTAGTGCCCATCAGTGCCGCTTATCAGTGCTGGGTATCAGTGCCCATCATTGCTGCATATCGGTGCAGCCTCATCAGTGCCCATCAGTGCAGCCTCATCAGAGCGCATCAGGGAAGGAGAAAATCACTTATTGACAAAACTTTATAACAGAAACTACAAAAAACCTTTATTTTTTCAAAATATTTGGTCTTTTTTTGTTTGGCAAAAAATAAAAAACCCTAGTGGAGATTAAATACCGCCAAATGAAAGCTTGTCTCAAAGAAATGCTAACAATTTAGTTTGGGAACAGTGTTCCATAACCGCTCAATTGCCATTCAATGTACAACAGTGCTGAAAATTGGCCTGGGCAGGAAAGGGGTAAAAGTGCCCGGTAGGCAAGTGGTTACATTAAAAAACATCTTAGAAGGCTTTAGAACCACTTTAACCTAGAACAAGTATGTAGGTCAGAAAAGTAAGGGAAGCTGCAAATCTTCATACTTATTCTGGGTCAGTGACTCAAGCATTGAAGAGGATCTACATGACAGGCAGGCAACTAGCATTTTCGTGTGGAGTTAAGGAATGTATCATCATAAATGACAATTCCTTCAGTATCACAGCATTATTTATTTTTCTAAAATATCAGTAACCATGAAAAATATTCCACATTTTAACAGTTCATACAGTAATGCAGTTTACATTTTTTACAATACCAGTGGTGCCTTCTCTGATAATATAACAATAGTTTTATAAATGTTGTACATAATATAAACACTGCCTCTCCAGTGTGAATAAAACTATCAGTCTGTCTTCTTAAACGGAGGTCCTCCATGTCCTTTATTAATTTGGTTGCCCTTCTTTTAATCATTTTATGCCACTGGGGTATCTTTTTTGAGAAAATGAGACCATAACTAACGACATACTTAATATGAGATTGTACTAATGCTTTGTTAAGGGGACGACGACTATTTTTTGAATGTATACCCCTTTTCTGATCATCTACCAGTGCATAATCCTATATACTTACTTATCACTTTGGAAAGGAAATGTTGCTTGGAAATTTTACAAACATTAATTATCCAATGCTGAATGTACATTAAACACTTGTCATTTTATAATGCTGATGCATTGCCATAAAGTACACAGGGTTTTTAAAAGAAGATGGAATATGTAAATCTTTGTAAATGTATAACACGTACTGCATATTTTAAGTAATGTGAATTTTGTACATGTAGATCTCTCATAAATAAACGTGGTATAGATGGAACAGTCAATGGGGTCTATTTTTAGTATTTTTTTTATAAAGGTTCAATTGCATGGGATATATCATTTACATAAGCGTTATTTTTATTTTTTATAAAAACCCTTTGAGCAATACCTCCAATTCCTTTGCTATATTTTGGTTGAGGAAAAGTTACCAAGAAAAATATATCAGTAGATAGACCTCAGGAATTTGTAAAGACTACATTAACAAAAGAATGCTAATTATCTACACCAACATATACCCCTTTATAAACTGTGATAGTAAAAGGTGCTGGCCAAGAAACTTTCCTCAAGGTGTAATAAATATATTATTTGTTACATTTTAGCTTTTTTTCTGGGTTTTTCTGGCTGTTTTTTTTTTCATTTTCAATTCCATTTTTTTTATTCCTTTGACTTTGCAACATTTTACTTTTCCCAAATTTTGTGTAATAAATGACTAATCCATAATAAGTGCCAGTCCTGTATTGAATCTGTTGTCAACCATGCAAAACTAGATGCAAGATATGCTGCAACACTTTGTACTATAAGAGGTGGCCAGACATGTCATCAGACTTGTTTCTCTAATGTGATATAGACTGACGCATTGATAAACCACCAACTGGAAATCTTTCTTTTACTTTTCTATGAGTTGTTGTGCACACAGTTTGCCTGACTTAAATAATTGCAATGGTATCAGTAGTCAGAAAAATACCATGGTGTCCATGGTCAGTGGTTAAAAAAAATACCCCAGAGTAGGTTGCTATGTTGATTCTGATATACTACAAGTGATTACATAGATCCAGGGGCGGACTGACCATTTGGAAACTCGGGCACTGCCTGAGGGCCCGGGGTCAGTAGGGGGCCCCATGAGATGCCCCTGGTACCTTTTTCATAGGCTTTTTTGAATTTGGGCAAGGACACAGGGGCCCCATGATCCCCTATTGCCGGGGGCCCCATGAGTTGTCAGTCCGCCCCTGCATAGATCTATTGTGTATTGGTATAATCTCTGGTCCCATATGTCTGCTGAGTACTAGCATTTCATCTGCCTGTCTGCTGTGGGTTCTGTGGCTCTGGGAAAAAAACATAAACTACAATCACTATGTTTCAATGACAGCCATATAACATCAGCTGGTATCACAGTGTACTCCTGTTTATTTACTCTGATCCTGAACCAATACTACAGGCTATGCATTGTCTCTGATCTTGAACATGCTTTCTAGACCTTTCTTGTCTGCACAGTATCAAAGTGTCTGCAATGATCATAGAAATCTCTTGCTGCTTTGCCCTGGAGTTCCATTTTGCAGCTTTCACCAAGTCCCATTTGCCTCAGGAATCCCCCCAAATCCAAAATATAACCAGGACGTGTCTGGCCACCTATGAATTTACAGAAGCTTGAAATTTATAATAACTATAATATAAATAAAATATATAAAAAAAAAAAAACAATCAAGGCACACAGAATTCCCAAATTGTTTTAGGAGTCCCCACAAGTCATAAACATAGCCAGTAATGCCTGGCTGCCCATGAATTTACAGAAGCTTGAAATTCATAATAACTATAATATAATGAAAATAATAAAAAGCCAATCAAAGCACATATAATTCCCAAGTGTTTTCATAGGGGGAGAAGCCGTATGGTTTTTTGAAGGAGTGCTGATCTCCTAATCTGACATGGGAAGAAGGGTACAGGGAAGGCATCACCTCCCCCCTTCTCCAAATGCTTTCTAACTGCTTACCAGACATCATGAAAATTCTGTAAACTTTGTGTGAGTGTTTGAACAAACAATCAGCTTAGAGAAGAATTCCAGGCATGGTATGTTTTTTACACGGTTACATTGGTCCCGCTTGGACCAATGCAACCATATTTATTTCATACCTGATTGATGCCCCTGGAAGCTGAATCCAGCAGTAGACACTGCTACTTCATTGATCTCCACTTGCTTCCAGGTCCTGCATTGAGCAGCCAGCCTGATGCATTGTGAATGCAGGAGGTTGGCCGCTCAGCACAGGCACCATTCAGAGAATGCTTTGTCTTTTCTGAATAAGTGCAAAATGTTCTCTGATTGGATGACGAGGAGAGGCATGGTTGGTGACATCACGCTCTCCACCTTTTTTGAGAAAGAACAAAAAATGTCCAGGAGATTTTCACAAAAGGGCTCCTGGTGCTGTACTCTCACATGTCCAAGGAGCCATTGTCTGGGGAGTGTAAACTATAATAGAAATGTGGTGCATCCAGTAAACAGATATTTTCCTCTCACTAATGCAGGCTCATTTTTTCCAAACACTGACGTTGAAGGATTTTATTTCCCAATAACCACTGGCACCAGGCATTTTTTATCTTTTATGGAACAATAATGCCAAGCATTTGTCTTTCAACTAATCAATGCAATTAGGCATTTTTTTAACTGTACAATAAAACTAGGCATTTTTTCTTCCACTGACCACCAACAGCAGAGGTCCTACTGACCAATGGCTCCAGGCATTGGTCCTCCCACTGACCAGTGTTGCTGGACCATTAGTATTTTTGTTTTCTTTTCACTGACCAGCATTGTCAGGGGTACTTTTTTACATAATCCTGTTACTTTGCCCATGCAGTACAAAGAGTTAGTGTCTTTATAAAGTGCCCTCTTGAACGCCTCATATTTACTTTGTCAGTGCTCCTTCGCAGCTCCTTTTTCCTACATTGAAGTCTGAAGTGTCAGTAACTGTGGGGATCAGCGATCTCACCCTCTCCTCCATGTGACAGTTCTTGGGCATAGCCATTGGCTTTATACCTGGCAGTACTAGGGTCGTTGGTTCGAATCCCAGCCACGGCACCTCCTACCTGGAGTTTGCATGCTCTCCCTGTGCCTGCGTGGGTTTCCTCCGGGTACTCCGGTGTCCTCCCACACTCCAAAGACATGCTGGTAGGTTAATTGGATCCTGTCTAAATTGGCCCTTGTATATGAATATGAGTTAGGGACCTCAGATTGTATGCCCCTTGAGGGTTAGGGACTGATGTGAATGTATAATATATATGTAAAGCGCTGCGTAAATTTACGGTGCTATATAAGTGCCTGAAATAAATAAATACCTTTTTATACCTGAGCACTGCCACAGGTAAAAGAGGTAACATGATCACCCATACCCATGGGCATTGTGTCACCAACTGTGAAGGAAGAAAAGAGAGAGAGAGGGAGCACTGGCAAGGTTAGCATAACTGGGATGGGGAGGCCAATTTGCAGAGAGACTGGCAATTCGTCCCTCAATGGCTGTGAATCTTTAATGAAGTTGGTTGTAAAGGCCATTCTTTTTTTTTAAATTACAATAATATACAGTGCAGCATGCACGCAGCACGGCTCGGTCCTGTCCTCCACTCTCTGCTCACAGGATTTGTTTGACAGTAGTAGGAGTCAATGGCTCCCAGTCCTGTGAGAGAGGGGAGAGAGCAGCTGGATATGGGCACAGCACTAAATCGAGTGAGGACTCAAGTATTTAGGGGTTGAGAGAGCAATATAAATACTGGGAATTATTTTACCTTAATGTAGGGCATACATTACAGTAAAAAATGTTTTTCCCTTTAGAATCACTTTAAATTAGTGATAGTGTCCCTTTAAAGTGTACTTTCCTTTTTTTTTTCTCTAGGTCTCCTTACTTAGGTCCACTCTCCCTCCCAGACATCTTTACTTACCTCAATTTCATCACCAAACCCTAGATGGAGTCATGCTTTGCATATTATTACTACAGATTTACACGGCAAAAAAAAGTGTTTAGTTTCGGATTCATTCATTAAGTCAGTTATTTTGTTTCATCATATCTGTTATGTTAGAATGATTCATTTTCAGAATTGGTTTTGTATATTCGTTATTCGATTTGTATTTTCAGAGGTTATTTCAGAAGGTTAGGATTCATTTGTTATGTTATTTTTCCGCGACTTGCTTGCGACTTTGATGCGACTTGCTTGTGACTTTAATATGACTTACTTGCAACTTTGGCTTTAGCCAATCATAACAATACAGAGTGTGACACATATTATTGAACTTACAAAACCCTCTAAAGTCCCAAATGAAACAAATTAATTTGTTGTTTTCATTTTGATTTATTTCAAATTAGTTGAAACTTGTTACTATTGTGATTTGGAGATTTGAATCTCTGAATAACAAAAATTTTGTCTGAATTTCGATTGTAATGAAATAATCTGCACGTCTAATTATTACAAAGCTCTTACTCCAGCACTGGAAATCTACTGAGCATTTACATAAATATAAATAGTTTACAGTTCACTCTGAGCAACTGTATCTGTAAAACAGTAACTGCACATTGTATGTTGGGAAAAAAAATTAAGCAACAGATGAAATCATGGACATTGACAGGTTTCTGGTGCATATATTCAGAAGATGGTTAGTGTTATTATTATTTTTTTTTTTTTAAATGAGCAAATGCCAGCTAGATGAATCTGTAAAACCAGTTACAGGCATCCAAAATCAAATAGGTTCTGACAAACCTTCTATAGTACAGCGTTTAGAAATGAACCATAAAATGGCGGGCATACAGCCAAGTGTCATGGGGTCGCTTGTGATGCTGGGGTGTTTTTGAAGTGGTGAGAGTTTATGATGAAAGCAGAAGCCAGTGAACCACCTGCAGTAATCAAACTGTTCCCTCTGAGGCAGCCAGTGGACGACTTAAACAGCATTTCATGAAACAAAAGATGCAAACTACGTGAAAACATGAGGTAACTGCATTGTGACTGTTTTGCTCATACCGCCTAATATACAAAAACGGCAAGAGAAATTTCACTTCACTTTCTTTTTTATAATCTTTTATGTGAAATCATGTCGAGATGCCCAGACCTGGTTTAAAAGTATTACAAATGAAGCATGAAAAAGATAATAAAATGTCTGCTATGTATAATACAAAAGTAACAAGCCATACAGTATTTATTTAAAGTATATATAAATGCAGCGAAATGGTACATTAGGAAAAGAAACACATAAAAAAGAAAACAGTCCATTTAGTTTCCTTTAAGTCTTGCTACTGCAGGCAAGCCACTTTCACTGTTCTGTTTAGCAGATGCTGGGTTTAGAAAGGTAATGGACTGAAAGTTTCTAATTAACCCTCTGTTGGATTGCTGATCAACACAAAACTACAGTCTAACTAGATTACACCTACAAAGCTGATTTTTTTTTTCACTGCTAAAGAAGTAAGCACGTAATTGCTGCTTCAGTTGTTAATGCATCCCAATGAATAAGCCCCATAAAAAAACTGGCAGCCTCTGTTCCTATTGATCATGTCGGTAGACAACTAAATTCAGTCTGAGGTGATATATATAAACATTTAGTCCTCATGCAGACTGGACGTTTTTACAGCTGCTGTTTTTGGCTTTTGGCATTTTTTTCTACAGCCAGTAAACTTACCAGCATGTGTATCCTATGTGTCCATGCACACATAGACTGTAATCAGCAATTTTTGGCAAAGGCGGTTTTTGGCTGGAAAAAACCCCAGAACTAGTGGGTTTCTAGAGGAGTTTTTTTGCTGCAAAACCGCTGAAAAACGTGGCAGAACGCGGCAAACTGGTGTTTTTTGGACTTTTTTTTAGCAAAAAAAAAAATATTTTTGGTAAAAAAAAATGCTAAAAAGGAAAACCCGAAAAAAAATCGAATGCTAATGCAAAAAACAGTAAAAAACACTGAAAAACTGAAATTTTTAACGTGCCTTTACACAGCTAACATTCCCAGCAATATTAAAATGCCCAGTGTGCATGGAGCCTAATTCAGACAGGAGAAATTGTCATGCAGAGTCTTACACAACTACATCAAGACATTTGATATATTCACACCCCAGTTATGATGCTAAATATTTTTTTTTGTTTGTTTTCTTTTTTGAAGGTGGTGTTTAACCATTAGCCGCCCGACCAATGGCCGTTTGGCGGCTTCAAATGTGCTCCTGTATTCCGGGTGCACGCCATTTGGCGTGCTCCCGCACATGCGCAGTTTGCGCGGTTGCAGAGCGACGCAGCAGTGCGATCTGTCACCGCCCGTGCACCTCGGACACGGCCGATGACAGATCCGAGTACCGCCTCCCGTTGCCGGTACCATGTGACCTGCTGTGACCAATCACAGCAGGTCACATGACAGTTGTATACAATGGATGG